TGATATTGGGCACGAGTTCAATCTTAATGAGTCAACAACATACATTATATAAGGTATCTTTAAAACATAACATAAAACACATATTTACGCTTGATAAATATGTGACTAGAGGCTCAAAGACCTCTAACCCTGTACTACCTCCTGGAGTGATGGTTTAGTCACTAATTCGGTGTTTGTGGTGACTTTATAAAAAATAATTTACTGTAATGACAATAGACTGTATTTTAACTCTAACACATTTGAAAAACTTATTCTTTACCATGATGAACATTTTATGCTCAGTTGGGACAGAATACATAGAAAATTAGCAACAAGTTCTTTAAATAGTTGTAATTAATGAATTAGTAAAAATGTTCTTAAAATATGACTCAGGGGACTTCCCTGGCAGTACACTGGTTAAGACTCTGTACTTCCACTGCAGGGAGTGCTGGTTTGATCCCTGGTCAGGGAACTAAGATCCCACATACTGAGCAGTGTGGCAAAAATATAAAAAAGACTGACATTATCTCTGGCAAAAATCTAATGTTTCAATCTAATTTTCCTTATCAACCTTCCATTCTCTTCTTACCAAGAATAATTACTGATGTGGTCCCATCTCCAACCTCTTCATCCTGTGTCCGGCTAATTTCAATCATGGACTTGGCCGCTGGATGCTGTACTTGAATCTGAAAAGAACAGTACAGGGCTACCCTGGTGGTCCCTGGTGGTGAAGAATCCACCCGCCCACGCAGGGGACACGGGTTTGATCCCTGGTCCGTGAAGATCCCACATGCTGCAGGGCAACTAAGCCCGTGTGCCACAACCACTGACCCGAGGACCCTAGAGCTTGTAGTTGGGAACATGGCAATGAGAAGCCCTCACACTGCAATGAAGAGTAGATCCTGCTCACCGCAACTAGAGAAAGCCCGTGCGCAACAATGAAGACCCAGCAAAGCCATAAATAATTAGAAAAAGAAAAATGTAGACTTCATTGAATCAACACTACTCAAATACCTCTTAACCCATTCTGCTTGGTCCTAACTCTTAGATTCTTGCTTCCACACTTACTCCCTTTTATTGTCTGATCACAGATTTAAAGATTAAAACTGGCCACCAAGATGTCTAAGTAAACCACTTTTTCAAGTAGTTTTTTGCAGTGGGGAAGGGGGAAGGAGGAGGAATGCATTAGGACAACTTAACTATTAAAGTTTCTTGAGAACAGAACAGTATCTTTCAGCTAATTTATTGGGAGCACCATTGTGGTGGTTGAATTGTGGCCTCTGAAAAGACATGCTGATACCTCACCCCCTGGAAACTGTGAATGCAACCATATTTGGAAATATGGCCTTTGCAGATGAAATCAAGTTAAGATGAGGTTATAGGACAAATCAGGGTAGGCTCTAAATCCAACCACTGGGATGGTGGAAACACACAAGAGAATGCCATATGACAGAAGGAAAGTTTATAAGCCAAGGAATGTGGTCAAGATTCTGAAGCTAGAAGAGGAAGGGTACTTCCCTAGAGGCTTCAGAGGGAGTGTGTCACTACTGACACATTGACTCTGGACCCCCAGCCTCCAGTTCATGAGAATAAATTTCTGTTGTTTCAAGTCACACAGTCTGTGATAACTTGTAAGCAGCCCAAAGAAACTAATCATTATTTACATTATTTCTTTATGTGTCTTTTGTAAAACATTAGAAAACAAAATGAAAAGTCGTACCTCTCGAAGAATGGCATTGCCATCATTGGTCATCACAATGCCTCCCATGGGGTCCAAAAGCATCTAGGACCAAAGCAAAAGTTATATTTAAGTGTCCCAGAAAACAGAAAGGGAAAATGTGTAGCTGAAGATTCAGTATGAGATAAGCCTACCTTCATCATAGACTTGGGTCCCAAACATGTTCGGATGATATCTGCGATAGTCTATTGGAAAGAAAATACAAAACATGTTAAGCACAAACCAGAGGATGGTGATTGTATGTTTCAGGGTAAGGGGCATGGGCAACCCACAGAGCCAGTGTTTTAACAAGGACATGTCCAAAACAGAGTTGGCAACTACTTTCAATATAGGGCGTCATATGGCTAGATTCTGTTGTCTTTCCCCCTTTGGGAATGTTTTCTGGATGTGCAAAGGATTAACTTTTCACAAGGAAAAAAAAGGGACATAGCTCTCACAGCTTCAGTTTCCCAGTAGTCCACAGATAACTGAAAGTCCACACATTTGTATTTCCTTCTATGATAGTGGCTTCCACCCCATCTTAAGTTATATCAGGGCTATTTTATTCTTTCATTCAAAACCTATTTACTGAATATACCTATCCAGGATCTACAGTGAGTACCAGGAATACAAAAGGGAATCAATATAGCTCTTTTACCCAAGTAACTCAGTCTAGTATGGGAGACAAACACAAACATGCAATATAATATGCACAATATAAGAAGACCATTAGACCCATCTCAGAGAGGGAAGGCTTCCTTCTCCTTATCATCAAAAGGGAAATGTCCTGAAGGAAAGGAAATCAAATTTTCTTTCATCAACTCACAAACACAGAAATACAAATACAGGCAAACTACTATAAACAACTTAAAAAATATGCTACCTTGGCAGCATTGATGTTTCCAGACTGAACTTTTCTTCCAGATTCACGCTTTGTGTTCTGGCCTAAAACAGATAAAAACAAAAGGCATGGGAGGGAGATTCAAAAGGGAGGGGATATATGTATACCTATGGTTGATTCATGTTGAGGTTCAACAGAAAACAACAAAATTCTGTAAAGCAATTATCCTTTAATAAAAATTAAAAAAAAAAAAAAAAAAAAGGGCAACAGACCAGTATTGATCCACTGTATATAAGCTACTCCCTAATCTTTGAAAATAAACACACACCCAGGTTTCATGGATGTATACATTGATTAAAGTTTATCGACTTGTACTCTTTAAATATCAATTATACCTCAACAAACTAAAAAAGCATCAATCTCTCCTTTATATAACAAGGGAAAGAGTTTGGGGGTTTACATTCTAATACTAGGATACCCACAGTCCCAGCATAAATTATTGACAGTGACCCCCAGTGTGCTGTGGAATGAGAACACACACTCAAAGTATCAGGGTTTGCAAGATAGGTCACTTCATGCTTGGATATAATGAGAATGCCTCAGTTACCCACTTACCATCAATAAGAGTGTACTACATACTTTAATAGGGAGCATAATCGGTTACAGCTGCTAACACCAAGGATTAACAGTGACCTCAGAAAGGTTGCACAATGCACCACTAACTCACCCTAGGGCCCTTTCAACCAGAGACAAGCCAATGGCTATAACTGAACCAATGTAATGTTTTTCTCACTCCTCTCTCCAAATTATATTTTCCCTACAATTTGTTGTAAAATTTTCGATCCGGTCCCATCAAATCTAAACAAAACTCTCTGGATTCAGATCCCTATTTCACGTAGTGTTAACTAAAATCCTGCATGGATCTTTCTGATGGATTCATCAGAAAAAATAGGGTTTTTTTTTCCGGGTTAAGCGAATGCTTGTCTTAAATTATTTTCCAGGTGCAGAGAAATTAGACAAAATCTCGGAACAGCATTCTTTACACAGAAGATGGTGAGAAAGGCAAAATGGCTAGTCAAGCATGTCAAGTGATCATGCAGGATGAGGCACAGAAGTTACACAGAGTAGAAACATACCGGGGAAGACAAGTGAAATGGGACTCATGAGTTAATAAAAAATCTGGGATGTTCCCGAAGGTAAAAAGAACCGATTAAGAATCTGGGAATACTCAGTCTAAGTGGGGAAGATTACAACGGAGGAGACATTTGCGAGGATAATTACATCTAACATAATATGATCAGTGAGAGAAGCAGGGTTACATCAGGAACAGGGGTTGACAAATGTAAATTCAAGACAACAGTTATTTAAAAAAAAAGTGGCCAAGGATACCACTCGCTGTTTGCCAGACCCTCTTTTAAAACAACTGTACCTACTTATTTCATTTAAGCCTCACAATTCTACGAGGAAATACTGTTAACCCTAATAATAAAGATGGAACTATTTCGATCTTTATTTGGCCGAGGCAACACCACTATTAAAGGATGGACCAAGGTTATAAAGCTAGGCCAAATTAAAAAACCTTTATTCATTCAGCTACACGCTGAAAATCGCTCACGGAAGCGTGCAGGGCCGAGGGTTGGGAGTGAAGAACGGAACGCCGAGTGGGAAGCATCTTTCCGAGGTCACTGCACGGAAAGACAAGGCATTCGGGCGAGGGTAAAGTCAATTTGCGTTTGCGAAGACAGGGGAATGGGTTAAAAAAAGAGGGAAACGGGAGAAGGGGCTTCCAAAATGAGCGACTGGAAGGCTCCGTGGCCGAATCAGGGCGAGACTGGACTGGGGCAAGGCTGTAAAGCGCAGAAAGAGGGGGGCGGCGAGAGGAGTCCCTTCCCAACCTTCCCCACAACTCACTAAGGACGAGCACCGGACGATGACCCATCATGGCGGCGCGATGCAGAGCCGGGTACCCAAAGCTGGGGGAACCGGCAGAACCTTCTGGAGAGAGAGAACCAGAGAGAAGCCCAGAAAACGGGGCCTCCTCAGGGCTCACACCTAAACCCGCTACTCTGAGTCATCACCAATCACCGCATGCATCTCACTGACCGGCACGAAAACACACCAATTGACATTCTTAGCCCCACCCCCTGCGTAAGAACGCAGGGCAAGTTAGATAGAGAAAGCACGATGATAGCAATGCGAGGGCACAGGCGCTTGCGCAATAGGGTGGCCGCTCCCGGCCGCGTGCGGCGCGAACCTCAGCGCAAGCGCCGAGGCTCCGGCAGTTGGCCGGCACGCCACTGCGCATGTGTATCAACTACGAGGGTGGGTGCTGGGGTTGAGGCTTTCGATTAACACCACAGGTGAGGTCATTAAACTCTGGCGTCTAGGCTTCTCTCGGGCCGCGAAGGTCAAGAAAGGCGTGGCAGTTTCCACGCTTTCGTTCCAGCCTTAGCAACAGGGAGGGATAGAGGGGCGGGACTTAAACCGGCGGTTGAGAGACGACCTGGCTGGTTTGATGCCGGGTGAAATGGGAGTTGTAGTCCAATCCGGCTGGGCTGAGCGGTGACCACCCTTCCAGGCACGCTGGGAATTGTGGTTTATTGTCTCTGACTCGTTGCTGTGCGTGGACTTTCCCCTTCTTAGGCAAATGCTTTATTCTGAGGCTGTCAGCGGTACCAGGAGGTGATGGCTTACATTTTCCCCGAGTTGTCCTATCCAAAACACTTTTTCAAGTGTTCCCTATAGTGCTCTCAAGATTTTCTTTGTCCACGCCCATTCCCTCCCGTGCCCTCCTCATCGCCTCAGCTGCAGGTTCATTAGAGATGCTGGGGAGCAGGAGCTTTAAAATAACCCTACAGAATAGGAAAAGGACTGATGTTACAGAAATCAAAACGAGAGAACACAGAATATTTGCCCATTCATAGGAGACTAAAGGTTTAGGCGTGGTTAAAGTACTGTTTTGTCCAGAAAAAAATAGCTGTTTTCCAAACTAAAGGAAGGGCAGTGAGACCAAAAACAATTCAAGAACAGTTACTTCTATTTGGCCATAAACTAAGACAGTACATCCTTTCACACTTTTTCCTCTCCAAATTGGAACAGCCTGAGCTCTACTGGGGAGAACTTAAGAAATTGTTAATAGTAAAACAGTAAGATGGGTTGTCGGTCATGAGATACTATGGATTTTTTTTCCCCAGGAGCCACACCTGTGGGTGTTCAGATGGAGCAGCTTCCTAGTCATCCTGCTAACAGAAGAGGTATGTGTCAGACGCCCTGCTTCCTCTCCCTTAAAACCAGACCTTCTTAATTGCCCAGCTTTTGGGTAAATGAAGCTAGTTGTATGTATGATTTTTCCTATTACTTAGTCGGAAAGTATTTGTATTTGTTCTGCATTTCCCACTAACTGGAACGTTCCTGTATTCCTAGTGTCTAGAACTGGATCTATTGAATAGTAGATACTCAGTAATTACAGGTTGAAAAGTATATTATTATTCCTTTTCGTCTCCTCTTAATACTTAGGACAGAAGACATACTATTGGCTCGAGTGAACAGATAATCAAACTGAGTGGGACAGTCCCACTAGTGGCCAGGGAAGTGCCTGAAACCATCTGACTCCAGAGCCTATTCACTTAACTGTAGGTGGGATAGATTATCTGAGAGGTCTGTACTGTCTTAACTTGAACATAAGTGAACTAGTTCTTTTCACAGATTATATTGTGCAGTGGTAAAGAACATGACTTTGGAGTCTATAGGCCTGGATTTAATTCCAGCACTGCCTCATTGAAAAATCTTGAGCAAATTTCCTAACTTAAATTTTCTCAAAAAAGTGCAGATAAGGCTACCTACTTCATAGGATCAGTATGAGAAATGTATAAGATAGTGGATATAAATCACTTTCTATATTTTGTCTGTTCTTCCTTTTGCTGCTCCCCAATTTCATCCTCTATTATACACTGTCTAGTCATCAGTATAGTTCTTTTAATATAAATTGTGTGTAATGTACTCTTCAAACCTTACAGTTCAGTAGAAAATGCACTGTCTACAGTGTAATACTGTAATACAGTGTAATATTCTCATTTCCTGAGAATAGCAACCATGTCTGTTTAATGCACTGTAGCATCTTCAGTGGCTGATACACAGAAGCACTAAGCTATCTGTTATATGTATGAATGAGTAAATTCAAGTTTTCTATGTTCTTTGATCTTATTTTGACAGTGAACTATGGACTTCCACTGTCTTGATCCCTTTAATTCTTTCATGGAGCCAGATATTCTGCCTTTCCATCCATTTCTCTTCTTTTGACTTTTTTATTTTTAATTTTTACTTACTTAATGTTGGCCGTGCTGGGTCTTCCTTGCTGCACACAGGCTTTCTTTAATTGTGGTGAGTGGGGGCTGCTCTCTAGTTGCAGTGCAAGGGCTTCTCATTGCAGTGGCTTCCTTGTTGCGGAGCACAGACTCTAGGGTGCCCAGGCTTCAGTAGTTTCAGCTCCCGGGCTCTAGAGCGTGGGCTCAGTAGTTGTGGCACTCGGGCTTAGCAGCTTCGAGGAATGTGGGATCCTCTTGGACCAGGGATCCAACCCATGTCCCTTCCTTCGGCAGGTGGATTCTTAACCACTGGACCACCAGAGAAGCCCTCTGTCTACTTTGCCACTTCCTTTTCATCTTGCAAACTTTGGGAAGGAGGAGTTCCCCAAAGGTCCAGGTTTCTTTCCCAGATTTTGACCTTGGAGAGCTAATGTATTTCTGCAGCTCCTCCATCACCTCTTTGTGTCTGGCCTGGAAGTTTGACCTTTCACCTGAGCTCAGTGCCCTCTCTTTGGCTGTTTTTTAGGCGTTTGGACTGCCTTGTCTCATCTCAGATCCAATATGTCCAAAATGTGATTTATGTTACTATGACATTACTGAAACTCAGATTTCCTTGAGTGAAAAAGGAAATTCAGGTGCCTGTGCAGTTGGGAGGGTTGATGAGGTAGCTGGAGAATAAGAATGAAGAGGAATGACGAGGACCACAGGGACTGGAACTGGGGATTCAGTGCCTGCAGCTATCTGCCCATCTGTCTGTCTGGAATAGAGAGAGGGGCCTGATGTATGTATGACCTAGAATCTGGGGAACGAGTAGCTTCTCAGAGGAAGGGTGGCTCAGTAGACAGAAATAACATATGTCTCTCATAACACTCATCATTTTCTTTCTACAAATCAATTTTTCCTTCTAACTTAACTATTTTTGCCAAAGGTAATCTTTTTTCCCCATTAAGAACTTCCATGTTCAACCCATTTTAATCCTAATGTATTGATTAAAAATTGTATTATATTTTCTAACCTTAAAAAGGCTCAATGATTTTCTGAGAGAGTCTCAGATTTATATTGGAAAGGGTCTTCCATGACCCATCCTGCTTTTCCTACTCTCCCCACCCTAATTCTGGCCACTTTCCTAGGGCTCTCTTATCATTCTAGCCATATTCTTTCATCCTTATCTTTGCTCATACCATCTTTTTTTCTCCCACTTGAATTATCTTTTCCACTTATCTGAAGCTTCCTATTTTCAAGGTCCAGTAAATATCCTCCACCTGCTTGGAGTCTTCTTTGTCTGTTGTATTCATGTTGATAACTCTTCCCCCACCCTTTCAGAAACACTCATTTTTACATTTAATCACATTTCAGTATAACTAAAAGATAAAAGGACTTATTTTCACCCGAGACTGTCAGACTCACTGCTTATGTCCTGTGTTGCTATATCACCATTTCACCAGTGTCTGATTTGTCTCCCTAACTAGGTATTAAACACCTAGGAAACCATGTCTTAGGTCATGTTTATGCCCTAGCATTTAGTGCAATAGTCAGCATGTAGCACAGATCAATAAGAACTTGTAAAATGTAAGCAAATTAGATTTTTAGCTTATCCCATCTCTACTTGGTTTCCCTTAGTCTCACTGTGGTTTCTTTTTTTGTCTTATTTAACTTTCTTTGGAGACATGCAGGCCAGGGCCTCAGCACTTACATTCATAGACCAGATGCAGGGTTCTGATTAGGCTGTCCCTTGTCGGAATGAACTCAAACTTAGTTGCCTCTGATTTTGTTCCAGCCAAAGAGGAGGGTAATACTGTGCCTCTTTGTCGAGCCAAACCCTCCCCCAGCTTTATTAATCTTCAAGCAAGTTCCTCACCAGTCACTTTCCTGAAAATCCTGCCAACGAAGTTGCCATCAGGTATGGAGGAGGCAGGGTGGATTTCCCAAATAGACTCAGCAATGGGGAGAGTTTTATGGACAAGGTGGCTGGAACTTTCTTTTATTGATTTTGGTGCCTACCTCTGGGTCCAGGCACCTTTAGATTTTTCGCTGGTAGTTTGTTGATTATTCAGTTCTGTTCATTTCATTTTCTTCCTGATTTTACCAATTCATTTGTTTGTTTTGCTTGTTAATGCCTTTATTAGACTGGCAGGACTGAAATAAGACTTTCATTGCAGTGTTAAAAAGTGACTAGGGAAGGGAGTAGTAACTATTAGCTCAGTTTCTTTGCATTTCAGTTATTCATCCTCCCACGGAGAAATCAGCGCATGTTTAGCATACTTGTGGGAAGCCAAACAGAGCACTAGACAGTCATAACTCCTGAGTTTGAGGACCTCAGGGTTTAACAAAGAAGTCAAGACCAATGCATATACAATGTATAAATAACTACCAGGGTTAACTGGCAGAGCTGGATGTGTATAATGTAGTTAAAAACATTAAAAATGGGTGCAGCAAGACTGGTTGAAGTTAGAATGCAGGAAGAACTTCGAGTCAGTGCTGATGACCTTACTGTGTCAGGTAAGAGAGAAGGTGGCTCAGGCATCTCCTGAGCTCTTGAAAGGGAGGTTAGGCCTCAATCTCAAACCATTTCATTCACTCATCAAATATCTGTTGAACACTTACATGACAGGTATCCTTCTAGATGCTGGGGACACACTAGTGAACAAATCAGACAAAAATCCATGCCTTCCTGGAGTTTACATTCTAGAAGGGGGAATTAGCCAACAATTAAATAAGTAATTACAAGTTACGCCAAATAATCATTAAGTACTAAGGGGAAAAGTGAAGCAAGGGAGTGAGTAATAAATTCCAGTGTATTGGTTTCAAATAGGCTGGCCAGGTAGGCTTCATAGAGAAGGTGACAGTCGAGCATAGTTGCATCTGGGTTGAGTTGTACCCAGAAAGGTTAGAGGGGTGTTCTTATTAGAACCTTTCCCATCTCAGTACAATTATAAAATCTCTTTTGTCCCCTTTGCACCTCCATTGCTCTTCCTTCAGGTATTGACCACAAGCCCAAGGAATGCCTAGGACTCCTAGAATGTATGTATGCCAATCTCCAGCTTCAGACCCAGCTTGCCCAACAACAGATGGCTATTTTGGAAAATTTACAAGCATCCATGACAGAACTGGCTCCTGGGAAAGAAAGCAAGAACTCTTCTCTCCCAGCCTTATCTCGCAATCTATTGTTAAATCACCTGCCCCAATTCAGTAAATGAATTGTGAAGCAAAGTTATTGTGTATGTTTTCCCTGCTCTCTTCCCAGTAAACTGTTGATGGAATCTGGGATTATATATTCTGTATGGGATTGGTTAGTTTACAAGTTCGTAACAGGTGCCCACTGAGTGCAAAGCACTATACTAGGCACTTGGGAATGCATGTTACATAAGAAATAGATTGTGGGGAGGGAGTTTACTATCTAGCAAGGCAGAAAAGACAGTTCATTGTAAAATTTAGCAGTACTCTAAGAGGGAATGGAAGTGCAGAGATAGAGGTTAGTAGGGTACTGGATCAGGCGTGGAATCTTGCCGGAGGAAGTGGTGGCACTTGATGAAGGAGCTACGTTGGGTGGCCTGGGCAGATGAGGTAAGGTAGTTAGTTCCATGTCAGTTGGAAAGCTTGGGCAAAAACCTAGAGGTAGGGGAATAAGTCATCAAAAATTAGGAAAGAGGCTTTTTAACCCCCAGAATGTAGAATGTGATGTGAAGCAGAATGTGGAGCAGCTGAGAACAGAGCAGCTTTCCCTGGGGAATTGTTCTGCTAACAACTGTTAGAAGCTCTGATTCATTTGAAGCACTGGAAAGCCATTGGAGGCTTTCAGGTAGCAAAGGATACAAAATGGCCAAAACATTTTGGGGTGGAGGGAGGATGGAAGTGGAGAGGCCCCTATGAAACTACCAGGGTCTGGATAAAGGGTTTAGAAATAAAGACAGGCAATGGGTGAATCTTAGCTATGTTGTAGAGAGGGACTAGTCTCGAGCTTGAAACACCAAGCTACAGCATCCTGAAATTTCTAAGTTGGGAAATCAATTTAGCTTTAATGGGGGTTCAAATCCAGCCTTGTGTTTTCAGTGTTTGAGAAGTGGACACCAGAGGTTGGCTTAGTCATTTGAACCACATTAGATCACTGCTTTCTTACACATTTGTGTTGGCAAATTATTCTTGAGACTGAGACTAGGTCCTTTTTCCAGAAGCTTATTTTCCTGTGGAATGTGGAGAAGATGAAAGCAGAGTTAGGCCTGAATACAGAGATAAGAAAGTGAGAAAGCAGTGATTGAGAAGAGAATTTCACATTGGCTTCAACTCTTTGAATGGTTTTTCAGAGACTTCTTTTTTTAAAAAAACTTTTTATTAATATTTTGTATTGGGGTATAACCAGTTAATAGTTGTGAAAGTCCTGCAGTCAAATCCTGCTGGCCTTCAAAGTTAAATTCTCTGGGGATTCCTAGTCCTTTGCCATTGTTGGGTTCCAGTGTCCTCCTGTCGATGGTTGTTCAACAGCTAGTTGCAATTTTGATGGTCTTGCAGGAGAAGATGAGTGCATGACTTGGTCTGACAGGAGAAGGTGAGTGCCATCTTGAATCTGCTTCCAGAGAGAGTTCTTTATTCTGTATGAATAAGGAAGACTGAGCAGAGATGTATGTCATAAACTATCACAATATTGTAGTCATCCTCCAATTAAAAATAAAAGTTAAAAAAAGGAAGACAGCAGGAATAAGGCTGAAGTGAAGCTTGAGAAATTGGGGCTGGGCATTGAAAAATTTTGATTAAGCTATTATCTGTGGAGAAAAGAGAAAGTAATTTTTAGAAAGAGGCTCTGACATTTGTGCATAAGTTTTGACCTAACTGCTTGGAAAGAGGAAGGATATGTTATGTCTGGAAGTGTTTGTTGCATCACATCATCATCTTCATTAAAATGGAATTTTTGAATAAGATCTGAATGGGATCCCCTCTTCCCTTAGCCAGTGATCTCTCCATTCACACTTAAAATTTTAAGAGTTATGCTCCCATTAGAATGGCATCAAGAAAACAAAAGATAACAGTTGTTGGTGAGGATGTGGGTGAAAAAGGAACCTTTAAACACTGTTGATGGAAATGTAAATTGGTCCAGTGACTATGGAAAGCAATAGAGAGACTCCTGAAAAAATTAAAAATAGATATGCCATGTGACCCAGCAGTTCCACTACTGGGTATATACCCAAAGGAAGTGAAAACAGTATTTTGAAGAGAGAAGTGCACTCCCATGTTTACTGCAGTGTTCCCAGTAACCAAGATTGGAAGCAACCTAAATGCCCTTCAGAGAATGAAGGGGTAAAAAAGATGTGGTATATATACACAATGGAATATTATTCAGCCATAAGAAAGGAGGATATCTTGCCATTTGTGACAACATGGATAGACTTCAAGCACATTATGCTAAGTGAGATAAGTCAGAGAAAGACAAGTACTGTATAATATCATTTATTTATGGGATCTAAAAAAACATAGTAAAATGGTAGTTATCAGGGGATGGGGGTGGAGGGATAAAAAAGTGATGTTGTTTAAGGGTATGAACTTTCAATAAGTAGTAAATAAGCCATAGTGATCTTGATGTACCCTATAATGAATGTAGACAACAGTATTGTGCCATAATTATGTAATATGGTAAGTATAACTACAACAGCAATCATAGTACAAAATATAAAGATATCAAAAGTAACATAACAAAACATACCACACACACCTTAAATGTACACAATGTTATTTGTCAAATATATTCAATAAAAATTTATAATCACACTTAATGAAAAGATATTCCATGCTCATGGATAGGAAGACTCAATCTTGGGTTTTGGGAGGTTTTCTTTTTTTTTTTTTTTTGGCACGTGGGATCTTAGTTCCCTGACCAGGTATGGAACCCACATCCCCTGCATTGGAAGTGCAGATTCTTAACCACTGGACTGTCAGAGAAGTCTCAAGGAAGACTCAGTCTTGTTAGGTGTTGGTTCTTCCCATCTTGATCTATAGATTCAATACAATCCCAATCAAAATCCCAGCAGATTACTTTGTCAATACTGACAAACTGACTCTAAAGTTTATATGAAGAGGCAAAAGACCTAGCATAGCCAGTACAATATTGAAGGAGGACAAGGAGGGGAGAGAATGAGGAAGACTTATTAAGTCTTCAAGACTTCATATAAAGCTGCACTAATCAAGTATGGTATTTATAAAAGACAAATCAGTGGAACAGAAGAGAAAACACAAAAATAGACCCACATAGTCAATTGATCTTTGACAAAGGAGTAAAGGCAATCCAATGGAGGAAGGATAGTGTTTTCTAAACAGTGTTAAAACAACTGGACATCCACATGCAATAAAGTGAGTCTACACTGAGCTAACACCTTTCTCAGAAAGTCATATTCACTGAAAAGTCCTCAGAATTGATCAACTCTGAAGCAATGAATACCCCTAGCACCCAGAATATAGCCTTTAAGTGCCACTTTTTTTCAACTAAAGGAATTAGAGTTCCTTGGAGAAATGACTATTTCCAGTTCTCTGGCAGGAAAAGTACAAGATGAACCTGGAATATCTTATCATATCAGGTAGAAAGAAACTGTTTAAGAATTGTGTTGGAAGAACTCAGGGGTCAATCTGAATAAGGCAGACTTTACTTGTAAAAATACATTTTGGTGAAAGTAAATGAGTAGAAAAAAACTACCGTGCTAACAGCAGAGGAAAGCTAGAGGGGCTGTATTAATATCAGATGATGTGGACTTCAAGACAAATTATACTGCTAGAGATAAAGAGTGACATTTCATAATGACAGGTCAGGATAAACTTACATTCAAGCAATAGAGTGCTACTTAGCAATAAAAAGGAGCAAACTACTGATATATTCAACAACATGAATGAATCTCAAAAACATTACATTATACTGAGGGAAAGACATCTTGCAGAAAAGAGCACACATTGTACCACTGTATTTATTTGAAGCTCTAAAACATGCAGTATTAATATAGGATGGAAGAAAACCTAAGAACAACAACTGCCTCTGGGGATGGAGTGGGAATAAGAATTGACTGGGAAGGGTTTTTGTAAAGGGAACTTTCTGTTTGATGGCTCTATATTTTGATACAGGGTTTGGGTTACACAGGTGTATGCATTTGTCAAAATTTATCAAATGATACACTTAAGATTTGTGCATTTCATTGGATGTAAATTTTAATTTTAAGGTAAAACTATAGGGACTTCCTTGATGGTCCAGTGGTTAAGACTCTGAGTTCTCAATGCAGGGAACCTTAGGTTCATTCCTTGTTTAGGAAACTAAATTCTGCAGGCCGCAATTAAGAGTTCCATGCCGCAACTAAAGATTTTACATACAGCTAAGCAGCTAAGACCCCATACAGCGAAATAAATTTAAAAATTAAATAAAAAGAAAGAAACTAAACAAATATTAATCTCTAATTAATGATATCCATACAGAAGGGTTTAGTGGTGAAGTATACTGATGTCTACAACTCACTCTGAAATGCATCCAAAAAAAAACCAAACAGATGGAAGGATGGATAGATATTTATGTGACAAATAGAATAAAATATTATTATAAAATTTAGGTAGTGGTAATTATGATTTTTCATGGAAAAAATCAACTTTTATGTATGTTTGAATATTTTCATAATAAAAATTTGAAAATGAAGATCAGTATATTTGAAGATACATAGAAACTTATGCAGATGATGTCTGTGGTTTGCCTCAAAAGAACCTTGGCTGGGGTGTGCATGAAATAAAATAGATCATAGGTGATTCATTGTTTTATCTGTTTGATAGGTACTTCAAACTTAGGATAGATTCGTTGCTGGGAGCTGGCACACAAGATCCCACCCATGACAAGGTCATGAAGGAGGAAACCTGACAGGCAAGGCGGATCAGGTTTTCAGGGATTTCGAAAAGCTGCCCCCGGCGCTCACCTTAAAGATGATATCTGTCTTTCTGATGCCTGCCTCAATAGACCACTCCCTAATTTCTGTGACACAGGCAGAAGGCCTTCCCCCATCTCTTCCCAAATAAGAATCAATTTAGAACTTTAATCAAGTTTCCCAGGTGGTGGTATTTTATGAGATTATCCAGGGTGAAAAGAGTGTTTTAATTTAAACTCCTTTGCTGGTATTTTAGTTTGTTTGGCAAATGCATTTATGCCCTTGGTACTAATATGCATGATTACTTATATTAATACCCTAATCATAAAATAGCAT